CACGTGATTTTGTGTGTTGTTCTCTGCTGCTAAAATCCAGAAGGGAAGACGAGCATTGTCCAATGAAAATGATACTACGTACATTGATAAATAATATCGCAGGAGAATTGGGCTCGATCATAGCAAGTTTAATCTTTGAGAAAAATTATCTTTATTATGTTTGATAAATAGCAAACAGCAGGAAAGGTGATTTAATATTCTAGCTTTTTTTTTTTTTTTTTTTACTGAACGTTTCGTACTTGTTGCTGAAAATTATTTTTTAAAGACTGGGGGGGGGTTCCTCTAGTTTCCCATGTCAGTTTTTATATTTGAGGTGTGCTCTATGGCAAGGGAACCATGTAGTCATAGACAGATTTCTATGTTTGTCTTTTCAAGTTTCTTTACCATGTTTTAGACCAAAATAATAGTTTTTCCTACCCATCTTTTATTTACAGCAATTTCAGTATAGCTATTTAGATTATGGAACTCCAAAATGAAATTAAAGGCTATATTACTCTCCGCACGCAGCTGCACTTCCTCTCGTTCGGGCTGCGGCTGCCAGTGCACCATTTCAATGGCAAAGCCCCTTCCACTCGGGCTCATTTCCCTCGGTTTGACTTAATTCCTAAACGTTTTGAACATTGATCTCCGGGGTTTTCAGCGCCCTGCGCCCCCTCACCCGCTGTTTGATAGGTTAACTTTTCAGCATTTCAGACAATGGTCCCGGCCTGTAAATTCTACCCATCGGTTCCAGGAGGCGATCCCCAGCCTGGGCTCTAACAAGCGCTATCTTAATCTCCCAACCCCCACCCGTCGCTTCCCCTGTGGTCTGCTTTTTTCATACACAGAGATGAATTACTTTGAGGATCTAATTGGCCTTGTTTCTGTAACGTTTTAAGAAAGGGAAGAGGAGCTAGTGTAAAAGCCTGCTCGACTTGGGTGGTCAGGGCTGAGGCTGCCCCCAATTTGCCTCATTGCTGATGCATGCGAGTGCGACATTCCCAGCGATAATGTTGTTCCTAACCAATCTGCCCTTATTTACATTTGTAAGCATTGTCGCCTTTAATATGCATGCCCTGTGCAGGGGACCGCAGCGCCACACCGGGTTTGTTAACTTCAACTAACCACAGGATTCTCTAGACCTGCAATGAGGCTAGCTGGAGGAGCCAGGCCTGCAAAGGTGTCTGCTGGGAAGACAATCCCTTTAATGGCCTTTCCCCTCCTGATTACCAAATAAGTGACAGCTCTGGGCCTTTTCAACCAATTGGACCTGCTGGTTCTCTTTGGAGCAACAGATGAGTGTTCTATCTCCCCTTTCCATGTCAAGTTCATCTCAGTGCATCAGTTGTCATTTCCGTCTCCCCAATCAGCATCCAAGACTTCATTGGAGTCTATCGTTTTCAAAACAGATTCCTTAAACTCTTAAAACATGATTCATTCATATCTTCTTTCTTTTCCAATAGTTCAAATACCCATGGCCACACCACACACATCCCAAAAATGACATCAGATTATCTGAATGATAACACTGAAATAAAACATCTGCCCTTTGTGTTTGGGCATTGCAATAATAAGCAATTGTGGGAGCTGGACTTGGTGGAGTAATGAGAAACCACAGTGAGATTTATTCTCTGGTTGCTCAGATCCAACCAAATGGGTCTTTAACATCTAATGTAATTTAACTCATTTTTGCAGAGTACAAATGAATAAAGTGGTAAATGTAATCTAGTAATTTGACCCTTGGGCGATGTTATAATGTTGTCTACCAATTTTAATATTCTTTTCCACAAATGCAAATAATTGCAAACATTACATTAAGTCCCACAGTATTCATACTGAGAGGATGAGATGGAGAAAGGAACTGAGATTTGATATTTATGGATGGAGACCCCAGGATGGGTCAGAGCCTGAGCAGTTCAAAGCAGGTACCTTGGATAAGAGTTGAGTCTTGACTCAATTCAAACCAGTATGCCTCCATCCACCACATTTTCTTGGCTCCCTAAGAATGCCTTATTATTTTCTCATTGGCAGCTTTTGTATTTACCTAAAAGGTGATGGTAGAAAATGAGTCTAAAAGGTTTGAGGGAGGAGAATAGATTCAGCAGCCACAAAATGTAAAACCCCTAAGCATGACTCCCCTCCCCTTCTCCCTTCCACCTTCTGTTTCCTCTTCTATACCCCCCTCCTCAGAACTGGAGGAAAGGGAATAGCTCTAGCCAACTTGTCAAAATAATGCTGCTAATTACCCCTGATCTCCTTTAATGGGAAGCTGCTCCCAATTCCACAAAGGAGTAAATGAGGGGTCTACAGCACAAACCCAGGAGCACTGGCATTTTTTGAGCTTATAGTGAGCTGGGGGTAGGAGGCGGTGGAAGAGGGGAGATGTCCTGAGAAGGTCCCAGAAATCTCCACATTTATTACTCCAGGTTCAAATACTAGCTTGAAAAGGGGAATCAGACTTTATGCAATGCCAAAGCTATTGGTATTCTCTTGCTGGGAATGTCACCAAGTGCAAAGAAAATGTTCAGAGCCTACAATGAACTTGAAAGAAAACATAGCATGGAGCCTTATATTTATTTCCTCCCTTGTTTAAATATCTTCTTAGCCACATTACTTTACTCTAGTGGATAGAGATGTATTCTGGAAACACCACACTTTGAATATTTCTTTCTCCATCTCTCTCTTGCCTCATCTCTATTTCCCCATCTAATATATCTATATCAAGCTTTGCATTTGGCAGAAGGCACACCATTCATTTCCGAGATCTCTGCCATTGGGTCTTGCATGAAAAAGAAGCTGAGCAACATGATCCCTTTGACCCACTGCTGGAGCAACAAATTTATTAGAGATATAGGCATGAGAAATGAAAGGGAAGTAAAACAATTCCAGCTTATTGTGTGTCTTTCTTTCATACTGCTAATCCGGTTTACACATCACGCCTACATGTCTCAATAGGGCTTTATACACTGTGGCAGAGGCGGGAGAAAATAAAAGGTGTGTGTGTGTGTGTGTGTGTGTGTGTGTGACAGAGAAAGAGAGAGAGAGAGAGAGAGAAGGATAAAACAGGAAGACATATTTTAATACACACTGATTTGGCTCATCAGTTTTTCTATCTGTAGAAAGTTGAAGACAATTGGTGTAAACAAAAAAAAAAGCTTTTTTCCCCCTTTCACAAAATAGCTTCAATGGTGCTAACTCCTATTTGAATAGCTTGTTAGATTATGACTAGATTGTAACCAGAAATTAGATACACTTCTTAGTGAGTTTGAAATGAAGGTAATACCCAAATTGATAATGGGCCTATTGGTGTCCACCTTGATTCAACATTTTAGTATGTAAAGATCTTGGGTTCAAAGATGTTTTACAGCCTTGTGGAAGGAAGCTAGATGACAACTGGAGCACACAAACTCACAATTGAAAGCCCCATGTTTTACAACACAGGTACACAATGCACCTGAGGCAACAATTTATCCTGAGTTGCCACCCAGAAATAATAAGTTACAGTAACAAAGGATGACACCAAAAAGCACTGTCTTTCTTTGAGGAGTCAGGCAGTTAATTACATGTTGAAGTACTGGAGCCAAAAAGCAAAAAACCAAAACCCACAAAAAGAGAAGAAAACGAACACACACAGAATGCTGAAAAGGGACTATTGTAGTTCAAGACTTGTTATCCAATTATTAAATATTTAGAGGCACCCATGTGGGTCTTTATTATTTATATATTTCCCTTCCCCGGGGAGGAGGTAGAGATAAAAAGGGGAAAAGATGCTTTTCTCTCCCAAGTCTAGGAAAATAGAGGTTCCTGGGTGTCTTCCACAGACAACAATCTATATGGTTCTTCTTAGGTGACAGAAATTGAGAGCTTTGGACGTATTGATCATCTACACACCAGGGGTCATCTTTAACATAAACTTAAATCCCTGGAGACATAGCCCATGTCACTCCAGAAGTATAGTCTCTGGAGGGCCTATGAGGCCAGTGTTGGCACCGGGTCTGAAGGGGTTTGGATGGGTCATGCCATCTCAGGGCTCCCCTTAGCCCTCTCAGCACTCTCAGCACTGAGCTAGCACCCTTCTCTTTAATGGATGGCAGGCACCAGAACGTCTAATTTCATGGGTGAAAAAGTCAGCACGTACCATCTCCAACCCATGGCCCCTTCGTGAACTAAAAAAAACCCCTCTGGCCCTTTTTCCCACCAACGGAGGCAGGGAGGTGGATGTTTGCGCTCCAAGTTTTGGTAAGGTGCCTCTCCCTCCTAGCCCTGGGGTCCTGGCCCTGACGCGGAGAGCGTGCGCTCCTCGGCTCCAGCAGGTCTCTAGCAGGTCTGCACCAGCTCCCCGGAGACAAGAGCACTCGCTCGGGTGCGCGCGCGCTCAGCCCGCACGCCCACCCCACCCCACCCCCCGGCGCTGTCACTCTCTCCGCACCAGCCCTTCCATCCCAGCTCTGCCTCCACTGGCGACTCAGTAGCCACCACCAGGCTGAGGAGCGGAAGCCAAGGTGGCGACCCTTTCAAGCGTGCAAATGGGATCCCAGGCGACCCCCTCCGTGAGAATTCCCCCTGAAGCCGTTCCCCGGCCCGCCGCCGCCAGACCCCTCCCCGCCCCGCGGGGCCGCCTCGGGGGGCGGGGGCCCGGAGCGTGCGAGCCAGCGTGGAGACGCCGAGCCGGCTACCGCTCCCCGGCGGCGCAGCCCACCCAGCCCGGCGGCCCCGGCGCGCCGCCCGCCTGGCCCTCTTTCCGCCGCGCGGGGCGCCGGGTACCGCAGCACCGCGTCCCCGGGGCGCGCGCCGCTCGAGGGCGAGGTGGTGGTGGTGGCGGCGGCGGCGGCGGCGGCGGCGGCGGCGGCGGCGGCGGCTGCACTCACCATAGCCGGCCGTCAAGCCCTGCCCGGAGCACGGGTGCCGAAGGCGCGGACGCGGGGCTTGGATTTCACATCAATTCCTTTTTGCCCGGTGCCCCCCTTTTCTGGTCCTCTGCTCCTCCGTCTGCTCCCCGTCTTCCCTCGTCTCCCCCTAGCCTGGTCGCTGCGGGTCTCTTTGTCTTCCTTGTCGTCTTTTTCTTCGCCTTGGTCTTCGTCTTCTCCTCCTCCTCCTCCGTCTTTACAAAAGGAACGGAAAGTGTAAAAACCCCGGCGCGCTGGGCCGCCGGAGGCTTTCGGCGGAGTGCAGCGCGGACTCACAATTACAAGCCTGTTTCTATTAAGCAGTTCCATGGCCCTCGGCGTGGGTGGTCTGCCGCGCCATAGGCAGGACCTGTCAGGGTCACGTGACAGATCCGAAAACTTTACCCCTTTACAATAAACTCAAGGAAAGCAAAGTAAACTCAAGGAACGTGCTATCAGCACAGCCCTCCTGGGTAAACAGGCGCTCCCCTCCCCGCCTTCCTGGGAGGCGCCTGCCCTGCGAGCTCCGGCGAGCCCCGTCGGCCCCCTCCCCGCCCCCCGCGGCCGCGTCTGCGGGAGGCCTCTGGGCCGGGCGGTCTACGCCCGCCACCTCGCCATCCCTACCTTTGGCTCCCCCACCCCACACACATTCTCTGCTAACGTTTAGCCACTTGCCCGATCCCCGGGGTTGAGGGGTGCTGGGGGAGCAGGGAAGCTCATTTCAGCATCCCCTGCACTCCAGGAAATGCGGGGTGCCCAGAGCCCTGCAGAGGAACACCACGGGTCCTGTCAATTCTCAAAACCCTTTCTTGCTCGCGTTCCCACGGAAGCCCTGAGAAGCTGAGAGCATTCTGGTTGACAGGCCCACAGGCTGACAGGGAGGCAGAGAGCCAGGGAAGCCTGGTAGATAACAAGAGCCTCCCCGGGGAAATGTTCAAGGCACCAAGATGTATGTGGATTCGTGTCGTTTCTGTCGGAGATCCCTAGGAAGCCGCTACTTCTGAAGAGACCAAGGTGGAGTCTCTTGGAAACCAAGATTGGTAGTTGGCCGAGGAGTCACTAATTGATATTTGCTCTTTTCCCCTTCCAATTACTGCGGTTTTTGGGGTATGCCACCCAAATGCTCCCACCCACGTTGCCTTCCCAAATGAAGCAAGCTTGGGTGATGGGGTTAGCCGGAAGTGCTATGGGTCCGCGCAGACCCGGCTCAGCCTCTTGCGCTAAATGGAAAGGACCCTGTTCAACATTGTATCTACTTAAACCCGCAGGGCAAACCGTTTCACACTGATAAATGCTATTTTAAATGGACCACATTATGAATACAGCTGAATTACTGCTATGGGGGAGAGGTAAGGTCATTTATTGAAACTACCTAAAGTTAACTAGCTGGTCTTCAAGGGAAGCCAGCCTCTTCTCACCTTATTCTGGGCTGACAGTGTGGTTTAAGGGTGTGCGCGCGCGCGCCCGCGTCCGTGTTATTTAAAAACAACAGCAACAATAATCCTAGGTGTCACAATTTATCTCCCTCTCCCAAAGATGATATACCATCCTTTAATAGGGTCATTGGAGTTTGCAGAGTGTTTGTGTTTGAGACGCATTAAGTAATTAAACATTGGAATGCTGGGCAGCCCTGTGAATTAGGCTGGTCCAAAAAGTCATTTCATACCAATTTACTTTAGTCGAATATAGTCACAAATGGATGTTAGCTGAGCATGGATCCTAAGAGTCCTCATAATTGGAAAAACAAACCCAGCAATATTTCCCTCAGAAATATGCATTTGGTGACATATCAAAGGACTCAATTCATGCCCTGCTATGAGCTTGGGTGGGGCGAGGAAGAAGGTATAAATACATCTCCAAATAGAGTAGTCTAGAATAGGAAAGAGAAGAGGGGATAAGAAAACAGGAACAGCTTAGCAAAGGACATTTAAATGGCCCACAATATAAAGTTGCTAATGTCTGGGAGGAAAAATTATCTTCTACTCTCCAAGGTTCTTCTGGCCGGATTAATAATAAAATTAATAAGAGAGAGATTAGCAGGAGAAAAACAAATTAAAGTTTAATACTTGTTTACCATGTCTACATGGGAGGGACCCAGGAACACTAACTTGTCAAAATGGTGGAAACTTGTCGCCTTAAATACCTCCGTCAACTACAGACAAAAGATGTTGGGGTTGGAGAGTCAGTTATGGGAGGTTACCAGGAAAAGCCCAGCAAACAAGGGTAAGAGTGTTGTGTAGATTTAAATCAATTGTGCCTTCCCCATTGATAGTGAAAGCAGACCAGGGAGAGTAAGGGTAATGCCCTTACAGATGGAGAGTTCCCTTGGAAGAGTAAATGTCCTTTACCAAGGGGAACTTCTTGGGGTTAGAGCTTCTCCCAGGTGTGCTGTTTCTCGAAATTAACCAGCATAAATAATCCTTATCCTAAAGTGACATTTTGTGGTGGCAAGCTCTCTCTCACTCGTTTTGTGGGGAAAGTCCAGCAGAACATGTGGACTTTGCTTTTCCCAATTAAATTGGAGACCGCCTCATGCAAGCGCCCTTGGCTAGACCTGGTTTTGTGGGATCAGGGGCTTAAAGCAGTTTGGGAGAGGAAGGCTTTCTTAGGAACTCAGAATTACCAACACAAAGTCAAGTACAGACAGGGACTTGGAAGGGGTTTGTGCAATGTAGAGTCCTGCATGAGTCTTCAGTCCCATCACCTCCCTTCGTTCTGTAGAACAAGGAGATCTGTGGTCTTGCATCCATTGGTTAAGACTCAGTGTGTTCATATCACACCATATTTCAGTCAAATGCTTTACAACTGGAAGCAAAGATGAGCTTGGTTTGAGTGTTAAATAGTCAGAGCTGGGCTGCAGTAGCATAGTGAACCAGGGAGAAAACTTTTTGTGTTGTCACCTAAAATGTCTAGAATGAGAACTTCCTGGAAATATTCTCTCCCAAGAGCAACCTGTCCTTTACCTTCCTCTGAAGTCAGTCTTTGAAAATGATAGTGTTGTGTCTCCCCCCCCCCCCCAACTCTTTGATGCCAGAAGTGTTAAATCCTCAAATGGGAGGTAGATGTTTTCCAGTGCCCAGAGCCCCATGTGTTGTTACCTTCTAGTATTTCTCTGAGACTCCCCACCAGGGTGGGCTCTTTCTCATCAAACAGCTGCTTCCACCCTTCTAAAGTTGCTTATGCCTCATCCCTTCCTGCAATACCAGCCCCTGTGCTGCCCAGTCTGACAACCCACTTGGCATGAAGGTGTCAGTGACTGACAAGGCCCTGGGCAACAGAGCTCAGCTCTAGCCTGCCCAGTCTGCCAGTCTGATAAGCCAGCTCGCATCAAGGTGTTAATGGCTGAGAAGCTACTAGATGATACATTTGCAAGTTAACTTGGAATTTTAGAGCCTCACTCAGAGGAATAATTCTGAAGTTGGACATTTCAGGGCACTAAGGAGGACCGGATGGAGACATTTGAGGCATTGGAGGAGGGGACAATAGAGGGACCCTTTAAAACAGGTTTGAAAACAGACCACATGAACATGATCAAGTCTGTTGATGGGCAAGGTCATCCCGAGCTCTGTCTTTCTGAATATTTGTTGTTACTTGAAATACAGATGTTACCCCTGTTACACACATTCTTCATTCTAGGGTTCCCTCTTCCCTGACTCGCACTAAAAGTGGGTTCTTAGGCACTTTCACTCATCCCTTCCCCCACAGCAGCCTCTAGCAACTGGAATGCTTCAAGTGAATAAGTAAGTGTTCAAAAGACACATGTGTCCACATTGGGGGAGCTTTCTACCTCAGGATGAATGCCACTCTTGCACATGGTTCTTGGACACTGGATCAGACAGGTCAAATTGTCATAAGAAGTGATGATACTCAATGTAGGGACTTCAATTCTAAAATGACTACCCACCCCCACCCTATTAGGAAGATATCCACAAGCCAAACAAATGTGTGGAATTGGGACTCGGAGGACCAGAGGGATAGGAAATATTTGAAGGTGGTAGGTTGGAATAGGGAGGCCGAGTGAACGACTGGATTACAATGGTAGAATGCGCTGAAGCAGTAAAAGGAGGATTGTTCAAACAGGGAGAAGTAAAACAGGATTGCACAACAGAAGAATGTGAACAAAAAGCTTCGAAACCGAAAGGGTGGAGTGCAACCTTAAAGGTCATAAATCAAAGGCTCTGGGGACCCCATTACCCAGCAGGGGGGCCCACAGAGGCAGGGTAATATTCAAAGATGAGACCACAATCTCAGGACAAGAAGACACAGGGAGAGAGGGAGAGACCTGAGGAACTTCCTACCTCAAAAAATGAATCTTAGCCAAGTTGCCAACTCTTGCAACTGGTGTCCACATGGGACCCCCTCAGAGAAGAGATCCCCCTGTGTAGGAGACCTACTGGGCAGCCTTTCCGAGGAAGTGTGTGGTAAGAAGCAAAATGCTCCCAGAGATGTAAACGGTGGGAGACAGGTGTGCCAGGCTGGCTGGTGGTGATGGGGTCACAGCCAGCAGACAGCGTATTACCATCAGGCAGGTCAGAAAAATGATCTCCAAGTTTTGACCGTACCTAAGAGGGCTGAAAAAGCTATTAAACGTAGTAAACATAAAAAACAGCCTGTCTGACAGCAAGTGCTGATTTACACCGTTGGCGTTGTTGCTACCCAGAATGCACCGTTTGTCTTGGTTCGAGCCAGTGGGACAGGTGCAGAACTGAACTTCATTTACTTAAGCTGTGTGATTACACATTCGGGGGAGTGAGCCAATTTCATTTCCACTCTGAGTGAAGGAGGCTGGGAAGCAGGGCTCCGTGAGAGTGAGATTTGCGAGGGGAGGGGAGAGATGGGAGAGTGAAGCTGAAGCAGCTCTGAGCCCGGTCATGATGCTGTGTTCTGGGGCCCTTGGCAGCACGTAGGACCTGTTGGTGGCTCTGAACACCATCCCCTTATGCAGCCGGTGCTACTCCTTGTGTTTGTGAGGCTCACCTGGGGCCAGGAAAGGGTGTGTGCTCTGTTTCCTAGCAGCAGCCCCCCACAGAGGGCACTGGGGACAGTGGCACCTTCTCCAGCAACTCTGACCTCTTGTTGATTGAGGCCAGTTTTGGAGGAAGTCAGGGAGGTGGGAGTCTGGTCTGTCTGTCTTGCCATCCAACTCCAGGCTTGGTGTCTTCCCTTCCACTAAGGCTGCCCTAACAAAGTAACACAGGCGGGTGGCTTCAACACCAGAAATGCATTTTCTCACAATCCCGAGGCTGGAAGCCCAAGGTCACGGTGCTGCCAGGGCAGGTTTCTTTGGGGGCCTCTCTCCTTGGTGTGTAGGTGGCTGTCTACTCCTTGTATCTTCACACGGTCTTCTCTCTGTACGTGTGTGTGTTCCAATTTCCTCTTCTTGGAAGGACACCAGTCATACTGGATTAGAGCCCACCACATGAACTCATTTTAACTTAATCACCTCTTTAAGGGCCTTATCTCCAAATACTGTCA